TGATAATTTAAATTTGCGTACAAGGGACAAAGTTGTTGAGAAAAGCAATCAGATACTCTTTATAAAGGCATTCTTCAACACACAAAGGTGATCAGCACTCTAGAGTGGTTAACAGCAGTTGCAGTGTTACTAAGGAGGCCATCTTGTGACTGTCAGAGAAGGCAAGTTCTAATGGGGCGTTTCTGGCAGTTTTAGGAAGTTTTTAGTGGGTTAAAAGATTATTATGAGATTATAAATTGTCATTCTAGACTGTTCCATCTAAATCATTTAAAGTGGGACTAAACACCTTACTTCAATATGACATTTTAACGTTTAGAGCTGCTAAACCGGGCAGTACCTAGAGGACTAAAGGCGAGAGCGAGGGGGGAAGTTGGGCGGAGTCTGGAGGTATAAGGAACAGTGTGATTGGGCTAACAGGTATCCACACTTCGAACTCCACCCCCCCCCCAGCCAGATAGGACAGCCATGCGTGATGCCACATAGTACTTAAAATTGGGAACGTACCTAGTTTACACAAAGATAGCCATAAAAGGTCTAAGAATAGAGGCGAATGCAGTTAAAATGCCATAGTTGTAGTAGTAAAAAAGGTGGTTTATAGTGTTTAACTTGTTGAGTTGTAATGAGTCTAGTCTAGTCTTTTTTTTCTGATTTCCATTAATAAGCCCATGTAAAAAAAAATCAATAAAATTACTTGGAATTTAGTAATTTTTGGGTATATCTAGTTTTAAAATAATTGTTCTGGCCAATAAACATTATTTTTCCTGGACAAGGTTGTACATGAGCTCAAAGTTGTCTGGAATGCACCTTATATAAATAAAAACTAAAATACATACTTAATATGAATAGAACAGAAGTCATATACTTCAATATTCATATTCATGTATTAAATCAGTGTTGGTTATGAAATAAAAAGTCATATTTGCTAAATAGCTTGAAAGTTATTTGCTAATTGTTTAGATCTATTCTTAGTACAGTTCCAACATGGCCACCAAACTTGATAACAGTTGTAGGTGACAATGGAACAACACTAGAATCTATTCATCTATATTGTTTAGATGTATTTTTAGTACAGTTCCAAGATGACCAACTGGTTTGAAAACAGTTGTAGGCGACTATGGAACAACTCTAGAATCTATTTATCGCTTTTATGTAGATGGATTCTTCAGTACAGTTCCAAGATGGCCACCAGGCTTGATCACAGTTGTTCTAAGCCATTATGAAACCACTTTAGAATCGAATCATCTCAGCTGTTTATCTCTATTCTTGAGTACAGTTCCAAGATGGCCTCCAGGCTTAATCACAGTTGTTTTAAGTCACTATGGAACCACTCTAGAGTCTGTTCAGCCGTATGCTCTGACAAATGAATGTGACAATATAAACACAAAACAAAATATAATTCTTCTTCTTACCCCTAAACTTCACCCAAAAACACATTAAACATGGTGCTACTGTTGTCCCCACAAATCCAGGCCTTTTTGAATCTAACCACATTAACATTGTACAGTACATAAAAGTATATAATCCTACCGTATATTCAAAGTATGTCCAAAGTGGAATGACTAATAGTGATATATTCCATGGGATTTCGAACATGGCCGACATCTCTACGGGTGAAAACAAAAGACCGCGTCTCGATTCTCTTTCGCTTCCTTCTCCTTGATTCCTCTCATCGATTTGCTATTTTTCAGCTGTCAATCAAAGTGTTGTCCCAAAGAAAACCACAGAATGACGGAGTAAACGAGAGGGAGGCTCCATCGAACGTTATTGGTCTCAGTGAAGAGTTTAGATCCTCTCTCCTTGCTTTGTCTCCTCTGTGGGCGGGACTTCCTTCTTCCTCACCCATTTCCTGCACAATCGAGGAGAGGAATCAAGGAGAAGGAAGCGAGGAAAGCGAAAAATGAGATGTGGCTAAAATATAAAACAGTTTTTGCACCGACAAAAGCAGCCACAATAGCCATACTGATTCCTACGCGCGCGCACAAGTTAGCCTCAAGTCTCTTCTAGTAAGATTAGAAGGCGGAACTAAAAAAAAAAAAAAAAAAAAAAGAAAAAGAAAAAAAGTTGTACATTGTAATTAAGGGATGGATTAGTGCAATATAATAAGGGGTTAGGGCGCAGGAGCTGACAGCGAGTAGGAGGGTGGGACCATGTGACATCCTTTGGTTTAAATTGGGACAATGAGGAGAGGAGGGAAGGAGTTCAAAATGTTGAAAGGGAAAATTTAAGCAAAAACAGAATGCAATGACGGTTTATTATCAGGGCTACAAGATTAATCGTAATCGAACTGAAATTTGAATAGACGTATTTACCAAATCGCAAACGCTGTAATTTTGGAAGTACCATAATTTTTTATCCTGTATAAAACTACTAACACTTCATATTTAATTATATTATTACTATTTTTTTTTTTTGTTTTTTTTTGTCAATTTTAATCACAATCACAATGTTTGTCAGAAAATGTGTTTATTTTTCTAAATGTTTCAGCCCTACTTCTTATTTTAACCAAATCTGGAGAAGCAGGATCAAAAGTAGATTTAAATTGTAAACCACTGGAACATCCTTCTGCTATTTACTCATATGTTTTTTGTTTTGTTTTTTTTTTAATATATATTAGGTTCTATGAATAAAGTGGTTAACTAAACAAATTACAGTTGGAATTTTGAAGCAATTTGAATTTTGTTGTAACATATTTTATACTCAGCACTTCTACAGTAAGAATTCTCATAAATAATATGTCTAGAATTTGAAATTTTATAACAATTCATAATTATTTTGAGAGAAATTAGTTCAACAATACATACTGAAAATAAAATAAATATTTGGTTTACAAAAACTGTAAAATGGGCTCTATTCACGGTTATGTCACAAAACCGAAGACGTTTGGAAACATGTGGATGACGATTTTCTTTGGGCTCTGTTGGCGACAGTAAATCTGACAAAACTTCATCTAGATGTCATTGTATTCTTTTTTCCTTTCATAAATTGCCTTTTAAATTGTGTATTATAATTTGTCTCACTAAAAAAATCGTTCGTAAATACAACCAGCTCGAAGTTGTCACCGAAAATCGCCATCCGCATGTTTCCAAAAGTCTTCCAGTAAGCATGAATAGAGCCTATTTATAATAATTACTTCAGAAACCTAACTTGGCTTCAAAAATAAACCAAATAAATGATTGATCAGTATTGGTATTTCATCAAATAACTGAAAAAATAAACTTTGAAAAACATGTTTTTTGCAATCAAATCACCAAATGAGTTGCAAAATGCTTCGCCAAACATTTTCATGCAACTTTCCATCACTTTACTAACATAACTTTATTATTCTTTTAAATGTTCATAAATCATTATTATGTTTTTATATTCCAACCAGTCGCATTCTGTTTTTACTTAAGATTTACCACATCCCAACTTTTCAGTACTGGAGTTGTATAGTCGATCAAAAGGAAAATTAAAAAGTGTGTGGGGTTAAAGAACAGGCATTTCCTAGACATCGCAACACTTTGGGACGCAAGGCAAGCAGCTAGAGCTCTGAAACTAGCACGTGGAGAATGTCAAGTCCGAAAAGGCAATGCACAAAAGGGTTATGTTCTATCAACTTGTGCCTTATTCTGTCCATCCGAAGTATTTTTGAAGATTTGAGATTTCACTGTTTCTTTTATGCATCTTAACTATTGTATTTGTAAAGTGAAACTAGCTGCCTAAAGCTCTACCTGCAATGTATAAGGCAAGTCACAGGAAACTAACTAGAAAACGAGGAGAGTGTCGACTCCTCAGTAAGGGCTGTTTCTATTGGCTTAAAACGATGATGTCATAACGGGACGTACGCGGGCTATACACTGCAAAAAATAATACCTACGAGAATTTTAGGAACTTTGGAGGGTTATTTTCGATGGAGAGGCTGCTGCTTTGCCTAAAATGTTCCAAAGTATGGCATTAAACATATCTATCTAACCTTATCCAAGTCAGTTACAAGTCAGATCTGTGGAAAATAAACCCTATTAACAGAAGGAACGCGTGATGTTCGAGGTGTTTTTGAGCAATAAAAACACCTAAAACGCAAGACAGATCAAGTTTAGATGTTAAGTTTAATGCCATACTGTGGGTTATTCCAGGGAAAGCGAAATTATCTCCATGGAAACAAGCAGGTAACGGATCCTCCAGTTGATAAATTATATAATGCAGCTTTAGTTCAAGATATTTGAATAGTTTTAACTTTTTTTAAGATTCATTAGATTTGCTTAAAGTGAAATTGTCTTGGAATTGCAGTTTTTCATTTTAAAAGTCCTGTACCTGATTTTTTTCTCCACGTATTTGAGTAAAACTACAGTACAGGGTCATTCCACCTCAATTCACCCCCAAAAATTGCAATTTGAACCCTCACATTGTCCAATTGCAAAGAAAATTGGTGTATGGGTAAATCATAGACAAGAAAGCCAAAATCTCGGAGTAACGGTTGCTGAGATATCGCAATTTTATTTGTTGAGTTTTTTGCGTGGTCGCCGAATTTCAAATTGCATTTACTCAGCAACTACTGATCCAATATCAAAAACTAAGGCATCTCTGGAAAGGAGAAATCATAAGGAATCCAAATCTGGCAAATCTTATTTTTGCATTTGAGTACTTTTAAGATGAATTACCTTTTGACCTATATTTTGATCTTGAAATTGACAATAAGGGACACGCCCAACCTCAATGACACCAATAGAAAAAATGTAGCCCTATATGTCCACTACAATATATAAAAAATCTGGAGGCGTTTTCTTTTTTATTTTCACACAAATTTACCTAGAAGTTGACTTACACCCATCTTAAGACGTGCCAAATATCCATTCAGTGTATACGGCTATGCATTTATACACACAGAATCCAAGTTGATATACTCTAAGAAAAATTGTCAATCACATAGTACCAAAAGTTTCATGAAATCAGGATGCCAGATTTGGATTCCTTATGATTTCCACTTTCCAGAGATCCTTGGTTTTTGATATCGGACCAGTAGTTGCTGAGTAAAAGCAACTTGAAATTCAGTGACCACGCAAAAAGTGAAAACATGAAATTGCGATATCTCAGAAACCGTTGGTCCGATCAAACTAAAATGTGAAATTTTGGCTTTTCTGGCTATGATTTACCATGTTTCATCAAAATTTAACTCATTGGGTGAACTGAGGTGGACTGACCCTGCAGATATATTGTATAAGCAGCTCTTGAGGTCCAAATAAGTGAGCTGTGTGCTGTCTGAATCTAATCGTAAAGCATTTTATTGTCTGATAATCAGGAAGTGCACTGTTAGCATGCGAGTTGATAGCTTTACTGTTACTGTAAAACCCCGCACAGGTCTCTGAGAGTTGTAAAAAGCATCCTAAACTCATCACTGTTAATAATTAGTATCCTCAGAATGCATAAAGGTAAATGAGGAATAACTTTAGACCACTGCAAAACTTTATAAAAGGAATTTGTTTTGTTGTTCTCGTTTTTAAGACAGTCAAACTTTAAGCTCATGTAAGTATTATTTGTTGCAGTGTGGACATTAGTTTGATTGGATTGCCCTCAGATTACTTCTCATCCTTATCTCCTCTTGGTCGTTTCGTCTTTCCTTCCACCGAGACAAAAAGATCACTTTACTTTTCATTAGCCTCGCCGTTGCCCCCTCTTGGTCGAGCGGCGTAAATACAGATCTCGTTCTTGTTCTGCGGAAGCCCGTTAGTTTGAAACTCACTTTGACCAGAGACAGAGCGACAGCTCACGGGCCGAGCCATGGAAGATATGAACCACCTCCTCACACTGCAAAAAACGACATCCGCACCACACAAAATGACTTCAATTCAGAATTCGTCTTGATTCTGAGTAGATTAAACTTATTTCCTTAACAGATTTCATGATTCTTTTTTTTTTTTTTTTTTTTTTTGTCATATTCCATTAAATAATTTGCTCATTTAGACAATTCAAAGTTTATTCCTACACAAAAAGTCACATCTATCTATCAATGCAGTCCGCTTTTATAGATCCAATTCCTCTCCTGTTTCAACTAACCACATCTCAGTTCCCTGGAGTGGGCCATATGGGTGAAGTGTCTTGCCAAAGGACACAAAGGCAATAAGATTTGAACCTACAATCAACTTATCAACCGGTGACAGCTTACACCACTTACAACCCATGTTCAAATTCATATTTAGAGGCAATATTAAAGACTGAGTGTCTTGCCAAAGGACACAACAACAGTAAGCAAAATGTGGACTTCTTGTAAGACGGACTAACATTGACTGGCTGGAACACTGCCAGCTCCAATCAAATTCATATTAGCGGTCGATATTTGTTGATGTGAGTGAAGTGTCTTGCCTATAGACACAACAACAGTATGGAAAATTAGAACCTGCAACCCTTTGGTCAGAGGCACTAGCACTAACTCACAGCACTGCTTACACATCTAATCAAAACTCATTCGGGCTAATATTGGATCATGTAGGCGAAGTGTCTTGCCCAAGAGCATGACATTATGCAAGATGTGAACCAGCAACCTTTTCGTCGGAGGCACTAGAACTTACTGACTGCATCATTTACACATGAAACTCGCAAACTTCTGATAAGAGAGACTAACACTCACCACACCCTGACTCCAATCAGTTTTAAAATTAATCTCCTGAACAGGCAATAATAACAATGTGTGAAGTGTCTTGCTCAAGGACACAGCAAAAGTATACATGATTTGAATTTGAACCTGCAAACTTAAAACAGGGATTAACTCTAACTTTTAACCATCTCTAAACGCGATAGTAGACTTAAATAGATACATTGCGTGTGTGTCTTGCCTATGGACACAACAACAGTATGCATATTTGAACCTTCAACCTCAAGATTCTGAATTCAAGTCATTTTAAGGAGTTTAGATCCATACATTTTGCAGTGTATTCACCCTTTTCCAATCCTGAAATTTAACTGGAATGAACACCAATAGTAGCCCCTTGACAGTCTTTTCTAAAGGGATCTGTGCTTCATTTTATCTTTTTGCAATCACTTCATCCTCAGCATTGAACCCACAACTCCTTCACGCGTTGATTAAATTCATAAATAGTTGAAAATCCTGTCTTTCTTTCTTTCTCGCTTTCTTTCTCTCTCTCTGTGGTGGTTTTACTGGAGGTTTTTGAGGATGCGTCCGTAGCGGAAGTCATAAACATGGCGGCAGAGGTACACCAGGTCCGGGTCGATGTCGGAGGGCACGCAGCGGTGAGTGGGCGGGGCAAAGTCGGGGCGAGACGGCACCAGTCGCCCACGGCAACCAGGGGGAGCGCCTTCAGCACGCCGCTTCACCAAGGCACAAAATCTGACCAGGAGAGAGACGAAAAGAAAAGATGAGGGGAGGTCAGTAAGACGTTCTATCATGCATTTCTATTGGAGTAATGTTCAGCTGTTTCCATGGTGACACAATGCACACAAAAGTTTTAAAATTGTCTGAAAACCCAAGAAAAAATATAAAATGGACTTTGAACAGCATATTTTCAGGAGCCTGTGATCAATAAGAGCGTTCATGGTCTCGTTTAGGAGTTTGATTTTCAATAAAAAGGTGAGAGCGACTAACAGAAAAACTGTTAGATGTGTGTTAAAATAAAGCTAAATTTTTCGAGCTTCGAGCATATTCTGTTGTTGTTCCATCATCAAAAACATGCCTGAAGTGGTTTTAGATAACAATATCGATATCTTCCGGGCTCTATTTGAACCCTCCTTGGTGACTTAATGTGGGGGAAAAAAAAAAAGAGTGATTCAAAAACAAAAGTGAAACTTATAAAACATGTTAATATGTTGTTTTTGTAACACGTGATCTAAATGATAGAAGTAAAATAACCTCTCTTTAACCCTTCCAGACTTAAAGGCAGTTTCAGTACATTTGTCTTCGCCTGGATTTTTTTTCTTAATTTCACCATTAAAACTCCCCCTTTTACGCCCCAATTAAGTATTATCCTTTTTTTTCAGTACAACCTGTTATTTCACAATCTACATGCTGTGGTTGTGTCATATGCCTGTAATAAAAGCTACAGGACCAGAAAAACTAATGAAAAAAACAAAAAACTAAATGCTAAATATTAAGTGTGTAAGTAAACTAAAAATATCCTTATTGCCATCAAAACAAAACAAAAAAGTGCAGTGGCCCCATGACTGTCCGGGTGCCAGTCATGGAAACAGTTCCTGTAAAGTCCAGGGCACAGAGCCACATCACTTCCTGCATTTCCATGGTGTTTATTACATTTGGATTTGCACATTTTGAGTGAAATAAACCTTTCAAATAAAAATAGCGAGGGCTGTGCAATTACACAGACAAAATGTGTAATTTGCCATTTATTTGAGAAATAAGTGCACTTAGAGCGGCTTTTTCAGTCGTTACAACATAGAAGCTCAGAGCATCAACCATCTTGACTCAGTACACTCTTTGGCAAAGTTTGGACCAATCAAAATGGATGAATTGCATGCGTTTGGAGGAAAACACTCATTCCTATTGAACACTCATTTTCCCTACGTCATCACGCAGAGTGTGTGTGACGCAAGATAATGCCGGAAATATGCTCGGAAAGCTGCAGCTGTCAGCTTTTTAAGGGGAAAAAGTACGTTTCTATCTTTTATGGTTGGAAAGTTATGTGTGGTTATAGAAAACATATTCCCAGGTATTGTATATGAAATCATCGGTCTGGAAGGGTTAAAGGTCCTGTATAACCCAAAATTTACTTTTGTGAGCTTTTAGCCATGTTAGAATGTTGTAATTCATCATCATTAAAATATACCCACAGTTGTGTTTTTTTAATTCACACGTGTTTGGGTAATCCTTTATTATAAGTCTGTATACACCAAAGTGCTCTGTTCCAAATTGTGATGTCATGAAGTACTAGTTTTTGATGTTAACAGCTCCTTTTACCTTTTCTTCAACAGAGATTGGCAATTCAAGTGTGGAAAACATTCAATTGATTCTAGTTTATGTGTATGGAGTTTAAAGACACAGTGGAGCACTTCCTGTATTACCACATGACATCACAAATCTCAAAACACAACTCCAGGTCTGTTTGTGATGAGGAAACATGGATCAGAAAATAGAGTAATCTGGGCCCTTTAACATTGGTGACGAAGTGATTAATTAATTACAATTCCTCCATTCACCATCATCCTTATTTTTATTCATTTTTGTTACTGTGATAAAAACATAATTAATACAGCTCTATGCACAGCGTTACTACAGATCGCTGAAAACATGTCTCATTGTGGAACCTTCATGACGCACATTCCCAAACTCTAGTGTGACTAAGCTCAGTAAATACATTGAGTCATCCTGAAACCACAGTGAATGCAGAGAAATCTAATACAGTCTCAATCTTTGCACCTTCTCCATCAGAAAACACATCTCCGATACAAAGATTCCCATGTACCTGAATATATCACCGGAGGAACAGTCGAACAGAGGTAATAATGAACCGGGTTCTGCACAACTCCAGGTGCTAATTAGAAACCTTGCTGTACTTTGAGAAGAGGCACTGCAGAATATTTCTACTATTCTATTCTAAAATCACTCGAATTAAAGCTCCTATATTACGCAAAATTGTCTCTTGTGAGCTTTAAATCATGTTAAAATGTTATTACCTTCTCAAAAACAGACCTGGAGTTGTGTTTTGGTTCATTCACACGTTTGAATAAATCTTTATTATTAGTCTGTCTACATCTCCAAAGCTCAAAATGCTCCGTTTCAAATTGTGATGTAATTGTGTAGTGCTAATTTTTAAGTTAACAGCTCCTTTTGTTCAGCAGAGATTGGCAATTCCAGGGCTGAAATGATCCAAATGATTCTAGTGAAGGTGTATGGAGTTTAAAAACACTGTGGAGCCCAGGTTGTTTTCCATTTGAGAGAAGAACTCAGCCTAAATGTGCAGGATTTGTGTGTTATGCATGTGTGAATGAAACAAAACACAACTCCAGGTCTGTTTATGATAAGAAAACAACATTATAACATAGATCAGAGAATAGAGTAATATGGACCTTTTAAAATGCAATGTTTTATTAATGTCTAGTTTATTCTGATTCCTGACCTAGTCGCTGGAGAGACATTAAACTGAGTGGAGGCAATAGGTGGCCCCAGCCTGGCTAAAATGATCTATCAATGGAACAAGACTTTTTGTGCTTAAAGTATGAAAATACATTTTGCTTCACTTAAGTAAAAAAAACAACAAACAAAATCAAAAGTTACTTGAATGAAGAAAAACACACTTATTCCATAGATTGTTAATTTGACTTGTCAAGTTGAATCGACTCAAATAAAGTAAAATGTTCATAATTTAAGTCATTTTAACTTAAGATAGATATTGGTTTTGCAGTGCAGTACTTCTAAAACCAGATTACATTGAAAAATACTCAAAGAATCAATGTATTTATTAATATTTTAACACATGTGAACCCCTCTCGATGTCCAGTTTCTTTCAGTTTGTTCACAGAGCAGTACCTTTACCCTTTGTGTGTTGTGTATATTCTTACCTACAGTACTGGGCGAGGGGCAGGACGTAGCATCTGTCTTCGATACAGGCCACACTATTTTCATCCTGATGCCGAGAGGCGAAAATCTCATTCTGAAACAAACACAGTGGGAGTAAAGTCACATGACCTCAGCAGATCTGTGGTCTGTGCTGCTGGGGGCTGCACATGACAGGAGCCTGTTTATGTGAATGCACTCAAGATCACACTCAGTTTCCTTTCTGTAGGGTGAGAAGTATGGAAAAAAAAAAAAAAAGCGTCACAGAACTCAAACATGATCTGCATTTTGACCACGGATCATATAGACTTTTTATATATTGGTGCAAACTGTTCTTTAGAAGTAATCCCTCTTCTCTCAGTCTGCTGAAACTCTCATCCCGCCTCGACTACTGCAATAGTTCACCCTCCAAACTCCTCAACAGACTCCAGTACATCCAGAACCCTGCCACCCGCCTCCTCACCCGCACCTCCCCTGTCCTCAGATCTCCACTGGCTCCCCATCCCTCAGCGCATCCAATTCAAACTCCTCACCATCATGTACAAGTCCCTCCCAGAGTCCTGCACTGGGTCGGGTACCCGCAAATAGAATTTTACGGGCGGGTATGCGGGTGGGTCAGGACTAAACCAGGACTATAGAGAGAGAGAGAGAGTCCTAGTCCTAATCCAGTCCTGATTTAGTCCTCCTGGTTCAGTCCTGGAATCAGTCGCAGGTTAGTTCTGGGTTAGTCCTGGTTCAGTCTGTGATGTGTGCGGTGCAAAAGTCCGGCATCTCGATCAATGTCTATTTTGCTCAATAAATAATGCCTGTAAAGTGATGACGTATTTTTGAGTAGAGTCGTGTCTGTGAATTCGTATTCGTACGGATTGTAATTCTTCACGTCGTAACTTTTCAATTCGTATTCTAATGGATAAAATACACACAGTACATTTTCTGTACAACTGGACTCATTGAAGAGTTTTTGAATATTTATTTAATGCTCAACAACACCCAAATGTGCACAGATTTCCCAAGTATGCACAAATTTCTATCCTATGCACACAAATATTTCTGAATGCTTTCTATTGCCTATTCAAAACGCCTGTTCAATCCTCATTTAGCACCACATTTTCGCAGAGGCACATAAAAAAAATAATAAAGTGCTTCAGTTAGAATGCTTTTAATTTGTGTTTGATTTATCATGGTGGGTAACGGGTGGAATGTTAACGGTTCTGGGAGGGTGTGTATTTAACTTTGGTATAATCACGGGCTAACGGGCGGGTGTGGTGCTGTACTGCGCGGGTGCAGGTCTCCAAAATGGACCTGTTCAGGACTCTGGTCCCTACACAACATGGCCCTTACCCACCTCTCTGAGCTCCTCCATGACCACAACAGGATTTACACTGTCTTGTTAGGAAAAAGAAACCTGAGCCATAGCAAGTGTCTCCTCACATGTTCACAAGTTCACAGACTAAAAGTCCAGTGAGTATCATTAAGAAGTTGCCAATATCTCGATACACAGGCCACGATATGATCTCGATACAGTGCACTTTCAATTTGATAAGTTATTATATATTACTGATTAAATACGGTTCAGTAAAAAACAATTACTAACTCATGACTGAGATGCTAAAAGTCTTTGTTAAACCATTTCTTGTGCAAAGTTCATATGAAACACAAACATTTTACTCATCAAAACAGTGAATATGTCAAATGTGTTGCATAAATGAGTTTCCTTCCTCTGGAACAAGCAACAAAACTGTAGCACTGTGACAAAATAATTGAGCAAAATATACCAAAAAAACTTTTAGTGATATATTGATACAGCAGCCCATGATATCGATACTGTATCATCACATTAAATGATACGATATATCGATATTTCAGTACTTTTTGCACACCCCTAGTCCCTGCTCCCCTTCCCTCTCTGAACCAGCTCCTTATCTTTTCTCCTCTTTCTCTCCTCTGGTTACAGAAAGTAAATGACTATTTTCTCACCGTTTCTGAGTGAAACTTAAGACCTCATTTAGCGCACGGACATCGCACGTGTTTCTGTTGATAGGGGTAGCACGTGTGCACGTGTGTCTGTTGCTAACGGTAACGCGTGTATGCTTTTAGGTTTATTATATTGTACAAACACAATCCAAATGGGAACTTCTCCAGAATTATTGATCCTATCAACACAAAATTTTTAAAAAATTACAAAAAAACATAGTGATCCTACTCTTTATGCCTGTCAGTGTTTTTAATAATAATAGTGATTTAAATAATTTCCCTTGTGGATCAATAAAGTTTGTCCAAGTCTAAGTCTAATAAGTTGGATGAAAATAAAAAATCAAGATCAATCAATATTTCTCAATATTTTTTCTCGTATCGCCCAGCCCCTGCTCTACCTCACATGTATTCAATTACAGATGGTTTCATAAGCGCAAAAATAACTAAAAAAAAAGGGTGTTCTGACTGTGAGCGGGATCACCTCTTCACAGATCTGATCTGTCACTTGGTCTGGTTTGGTCTCCATGAAAATAGAAAGGCTGAATACCATACTGCGAAACATTCCAGACAGAGCAATAACATCTCCATGGAGAAAAGCATTTGACAAACCCTCCAGAGGAAAAGTTACACAATACACCTTTAAACATGCCATATTTTCCGCACTATTAGGCGCTCTGGATTATAAGGCGCACTGTCATTGAATGGTCTATTTTCGAACTTTTTTCACAAATAAACCGCACCGGACTATAAGGCACAGATGGGTCAGTGGGACTTTGTTTGGTGCGTTCACGGTGACTCTGGGCTTTGTTCAGTTGTGGTGTGTAGGGAGGGTGCTGTCTGGGACCAACGGATTGTTGGCATGTTCAAGTGACTCAGTTGTTCAGTTGTGTCTAGAAGTGGGACATTACACTCGCTTTTTCGGTTCATTCCTTCGTTCCGTTCCTCGTCGGCATGGAGTGATGAGTGTGTCTGCAGGTGTTTTTGGCTGCACGGTTTGCGTGCGCTGCGGATGGTGCGGCTTTGTAGTTTATTGAAGTCGTGCTGGGACACCCGAGTTAATTCGTGTATAGGGCGCTCTGGATTGTGGGGCGCGCAATCATTTTTTGATGGAGTTGGAGGCTTAAGAGCGCGTGTAATAACCCGGAAAATACAGTAATTTAAATCATCAATGGAGTTTTGTAGGTTATTTTAGTCAATAATGTTTCCTGGCATTGAGAAAACACACACACCAAACTTTACAAAACGTGAGTCTGGTCACCGGTTCAGATGTGTGTGATTGACAGGTGGATTAGCCAATCAGGGACACACATGGTCCATCCGTATTGGAAAAAAGAAGTGAAATAGATATCACAGGGGCTGAAAAACATCACGGCGTTCTGCCAAATCAATGAGCAAAGCACTAAACTCAATCTGAGGTGAGATAAATGCGACCAATGAGCTGATTCGATTCACACGCCACACTGAAATAAACAAACGTGACCGGACGATCACGTTTGGCCGAGCTCGAGACGTGACAGAGGGGTCCAGACTGAAATCAATCTGGATAAAAAAGTACACAGAGATATCAGTTTGCATTTGCCAGACAAGCAATAATACGCATCTGCCCATAAATTAATTGCACGAGTTTATTTGAATAGGCCGACTCTATCCTTTTCACATCTGCGCAGGCAAAACGGAGAGGACGCAGGAGCCACATTTCATCCTCTGAGCCGTTCGTTTGTCAAAGTTTGAGGGGAAAAAAAACGTGGAGAAGAGAGAACGACGACGTGTGAGTGTTTGCCAAATCTTTTTATAATTTTTGTACACGCATGAAATTAGCACTTTTTAATGAGTAAAGCCCAGTGTGTGAGCAGTGCAGCTGGAGCCTCCTGCTTTTATTTAAATAGACGGAAAAAGGAGAAAAAGGAGCGCAGGGAGAGGAGGGGAAGAGTCAAAGGAGGAGAGCAAGGTAAAAAAAACAAAAGAAAAAAAAAAAGAGGCTGACTAATGTGGAGAAAGAGAGAGATTCAGAGGGGAAGAAAAAAGACAGAGTGGAAAGAGAGTGGGGGAGAGATAGAGACGAGAGAACAGACCGAGACGAGGACAGGAAGTGGAAAGAGAAAATGAGAGAGATAAAAAGAGAGGGAGAGATAGATACACAGATAGATAGACAGATAGATGGAGACAGAAAGACAGACAGATATAAAGAGATAGAAAGTGAGTGAGATAAAGAGACAAATATAAAGAGAGAGATAAATATAAAGAGAGAGATAAAGAGATAGAAAGCAAAAGAGAAAGAGAGCTTGAGATACAGAGATATAAAGAAATAGATATAGATACAAAGAGATAGATACAAAGAGGTAGAGATATAAACAGATAGCTAGAGAGATAGAGATAGATAGAAGAGACAAAGAGAGCAAGAGAAATAGATAAACAGATAAAGAGATAGACAGAGAGATAGAGAGATAAAGAGATATAGATTAGATAGATAGATACAAATAGAAACAGACAAAAAGAAAGCGGGAGAAATACAGAGACAGACAGATATAGAGATGTAAAGAGAGAGAGAGATAGAAAAAGAAAGACAGAGAGTGAGAGAAACAGAGATATAAAGAGAGAGAGAGAGAGAGAAAGATAGAGAGAGAGATATAGATAGAAGAGACAAAGAGAGCAAGAGAAATAAATAGATAGATAGATAGAAAGAGACAGAGAGAGTGAGAGAAATAGAGAAAGATAGCGATAAAGAGACAGACAGACAGATAGAAAAAGAAAAAGACAAAGAGTGAGAGAAATAGAGAGACAGAGATAGAGAGAGAGAAATAGAGAGAGATATAGAGATAGATAGAGACAAAGAGAGAGCGAGAGAAAGAGAGAGAGAAATAGGCAGAGACAGATAGAGATATAAAGAGACAGACAGATAACAAGATAGAGAGATAGATGGAAAGATGGATAGAAAGAGAGAGAGAGAGAGTGAGATAAAAAGACAAAGAGAAAGAGAGATGGTGAGAGAGGCATACACACAGAGAGACAGCAAGAGAAAGAGAGAGAGAGAGACAGAAGAGAGAGTGATGTAATGACATTTGTGTAGCTGTAGCGTTGCGTCTGGTGCTTGCGTGTTTTCACCTCCCCCTCAGCCATGATCCCCCTGTACTGTACTGAACCCCACGGCTGCTCATACTGAGACAGTCATTTCAATGCCAAATTAGTGAGTACATGATTACACACACCGCTGCAGAAACACACGCACACTTCATTACGTTTAAATAGTCAGGGCAGGTAGTTCTGTGCGTGCATACATCTTTGAAACCACAATCTGGCTTTTGTGATGTAACTACTGAGTTAACAAGATTTCCAGTGTTAGGCTTGTAAAAAATAGTCTGTGTAATATATGGATCTGCTTTAAACTTGCATATTGTAGCAGATCTTCTATTAAAGAACTGTGCAGAGTGTCTTGTCCAAGGACACAACATCAGTATGCAGTATCAGTATACAGACCGCAGGAATCTAACCGTCTAACCGTCGTTCTTCAGGTTAGCTGGCAAATATGTCTACTGATACTGGTTAAAATTACATGTTTTTCCAATACAAATATATGAAAAATATCTTGTAGAAATGTTTACTTAAAACAAATCAATATTAGATTTTAGATATGAAACTGGAAAATCTGCTTGTCTCCATTACTTTTTCCTCAAATGTTCTGCAGTATGGCATTAAATTTGTATTTATCATGTATTGATGAACAACGCTTTTTACTGGTTAAGGTTAAGTCTAGTCATTCCACAGATCTGATTGTAACTTTGCCTGGTGGTGTCAGCTTGACAGCTTGTATCCATGGAGAATAGGGATGGGCATGATTAGTCAACTAATCAATAATTAATCATTAAGAACTTCGTCCATCATGTTCATTTTTAATCGACAAACCGAATGTAGGCTGTGTCTGACACAAACACTGGAGCTGAGTTTACCACTCAACGACAAACACTTTTCAGTCTTTTCACCACAAGGAGTCAAAATAAATAAAGTGACCAACATCAAGAAAGTGAGTGAAATAATGTTAAATGAAGAGCTGCACTAAACCTGCACACGTCTGATCTCTGAAAACATGCACCATCTCCAAAGCGATACACACACAGAACACACTCACCATCATCATCATCATCATCATCATCATCATCATCATCCCTCTGTCACAGAGAGAACACTCAGATTCCACTGAGTCGTGTCCTTTAGTCCGACAGAAGCTGAACCACATCAGCGCACAAGAAAAGAGCTGTTTTTATCAGCGCTTACAGTTTATGCAATGGTTTATATGTTGTAAAGTTGAGTTTATTTATGCAGATTAGTAATAGATAATAAATAATGTAATATAAAAATGTTAATGATTAATTGAAAATCGATCATTAATTCTCCTGACGATCGATTAAGAAAATTTTATCAAATGCCCATCCCTAATGGAGAATGAAAGGTTTAACGCCATAGGGTGAAACAGTCCAGAAAAAGCAATATTATCTCCACAGAGACAGACAGGCAAGAAAAGTTACACAGTGCACCTTTAAATTCAAGGCTTTAACTAGTATTTGTTTAACTTTGGTAATCAAAGCAATTACTATTTCCTAATTATAAGAAAGCTATTATCCCCTCTCATATAAAGAAATTCAAGTGGAACTAAACACTGAATACTTTTGTCACTACTAAACAGTGTATATTGTGTTTTAATAGCACTATCTACAGCAAACTAGGTACATTTGCAGGTTTCTGGTCAAAAACAAAACAATTTCTGGTCTAAATGAGTGCTGCCTTTAGTGGCCTCTGTAAATTCCAATAGTTGGTGACATCACACATGACTGCCTTGGTGTTTCTAATACAAACACCTGGCTGCAGAGGCGGAGTTTGAACTGTGGAGACCTTTTAGACCAATCACGGTGTTCCTTATACCCCCAGACCCCGCCCCTCCTCCCCCCTCACTCTCTTCTTTAGTTCGTGTTAGTGCCCAGTTTACCAGCTCTATCTGAAACGTGGTTGTGGGTGGGGTTTGTGTGTTTAGTTCCACTTTAAATAAACTTGAATCATATAAAATAGTACATAGCTTTTTGATATATTGAGTGTAAACACAGCTACAGTTCATTCTGACTACACCGATAAAGAGATCAGTATAAATCTCTCAGTTTGATCTATGGTCTCTTGGCACTCTTTGAAAGACTCAGAAAAGTGGCAGAAATAAAATGTGTTTTTTTTTCTCAAACGTCACATCGATCACTGAGCTGTGTTTGGCAGCTTTACTGTTACTCCACTATAAAGCTTACACAGAGTTTTGTTTTGTTTCATTCACACGTTTAACACACAAACCCTGCATGTTTTGGCCGAGTTTTTCTGCTCCACCATGATGTCATGTTGTAATACAGGAAGTGCTTCACCGTTTTTTTAAACTCCACACACCTTCACTAGAATCATTTGGATAATTTCAGCTCTGGAATTGCCAACCTCTACTGAACAAAAGGTTAAAAAAAAAAAAAAAGTAGCTGTTAACTTGAAACCTACCACTACATGACATCAAAAGTTGGAACAGAACATTTTGAGCTTTGGAGATGTAGACAGTCCAATAATGCAGGATTACTCAAACATGTGTGAATGAAACAAAACACAACTCCAGGTCTGTTTTTGAAGAGATTATAACATGTCAATTTTGAGTAATTTATTTTGTTTTGGCTGCCCTGATGCCTAAAGTATAGAAAAATAAAAAAGGAGTCGTGTATAAAATTTTATTACAGAATTTGGGAAAAATGCTCAAAGTTAATCCCATAAATCATTTTTATAACCTAAAGAAAATAATTATTCGACTAATAAAAATTTTGGTCGACCCCATTGACGACTTAACCACAGCCCTTATGTCTTACACTGTGTAACTTGTCTGAACTTTTCGTCTCAATAGAAATTATTGCTTTGCCTTAGTTGTCTGAAACTTCATCAAATTTTTTGCAATTTCAGCAGATACTGTAGGTCTTTACATGTGTTATATAATGAGACGACAGAGCAAAACAAGCAATCTTGTGGTTAAAGCAGAATAATAGTACTTAGACACACAGCTCTTTGACTATCTTTACAAATACTACCAACTTACGGTAGAAATGGTTTCCAAGTTAGTAATCTGGACACTGTTTTTGAAATCGAGGCATTTCAAACTGCTATTCATAAACAAAAGTAGATTATAACAATCCACAATATCTGTTTAAAGGATTATCTTTTTAAAACAAAAACTGTATCCTTCAGCCTGCTTTCAATCCAACCTTTCTCTCTACTTAAAGTGGAACTAAACACTGGTCACTGCAATTTCAAGTACTTGGCGGCATCACACAGGACTGCCCTGGTTACAGCCAGGTGTTTCTGTTACAAACATCTGGCTGCAGTGGTGGAGTCTGAAGTGTGGATACCTGTTAGACCAATCACACTGTTGCTTATAACCCCAAACCCCACCTCACCTCCTCCCTCACTCTTTTCTTTAGCCTGCGTTCAATTATCCTTCCAAACTGGTTTTCCGAGGAAGTTGCCTAGAGACACGCATGACACGCCCCTTTTTCTGGACCGGCGCGACTCGGACCTCGGTGGCAGAAAAAAGAAGACCGAGCAAGGATTCCGAGTCAGAATCCAAGATGGCTGCACCCACTGTGATGTGTAAATATGAAGTGTTTTCATTGTGTTTGGACACTTTGGTGATTTAAAAGACAATTTCAGTCACGCATATTATTGCAGTACATTAACACGTCCGTATCACTGCCTATGGGTTTGGTACACGCGAAACATAATAATACAAGCTCGGACTTGACGGCAAATCTGAGGTCCAAGTGGGAGTCGGAAGATAATTGAACGCAGGGTAAGTCCTCCAGGTACTGCCCAGTTTAGCAGCTTTATTTGAAATGTGGTTGTGGGCAGAGTTTATGTAACCCCGAACAAATTATTGCCCCTCTCTCTGTAACTGCTGCAATGAGATTCGTTTGGTCGTTTTGGTCTTAAAATGTTCGTATTAACCCGATCTACATCATTCGGGGGTTTTAATTTTGCTATTTTGTCTGTCAACAAATTCCTATTCCTAATATGGAACTGGCGAAATTTGCTCCTATAACTACTAGTCTTGGTGAACTTCATTTGACTGGAGCTGAATGCTATGGGTGACACACCCATAGCATTCCTTAGTCCACTTCTTTATGCAGTCTCTTGTTTAGTCACTGTTTCAAATCTGCATCTCACTGTCTTCAAATTAGTGGTTTTAAGATAAAGATTCTGTGTTGATATATTACTAGAGATGTCACAGTAACCGAAATATCGTGATGTTGTGTCTTCAAAAGTTTCACAATAATATCTTGGACCATCACAATATATCGAATTACAAGTCTCTTTGCTTAAATGAATAGTTAGAGTACAGCAATAGCTAAGAGGGCCATAGACCATGATCCTTTGCTCCATTTCAGCGCAGACTACAAGAAGAAATTACAGTTCTAAGCACTTTTAATTCTTAGTTCTTTGAGTTAAGTCTTGTCAAGGCATTTTAAGAGGAAAAAGTAGCATATACAGAGTTTTGTTATTGTGAAAGTATCATACCGAGAGATCTGGATATTGTTACATCCCTGTACATTACACAGACTTGTTATTTCCAACCGTGTACCGTGTGACAAACCCAGTCAACCAAATGTGTGTGATGGCGCCCTCACCTCACAGTGTGCGCTGGGGTCACGACCTCCCTGTGTGTGCTCTGGTCGATAGTACCAGAACAGACTCATCATCAGCTCCCCTACAAGAGACAGACAGGTGAGAGAGAGTTAGACTGAAAACTACCACACTGTAATAAACAAGGCCGATTTACTGACACTATCGCTGAAGAAAATATCTGGGATTTGGTTTGGAGACATTTTATTGTATAGTTCTCGAGGCCAGGCTTTTTGGTAAAACACACTTTATTGATGGGACGGGAGGAGAAAGAATAGGAACATTTTTGTTTTAGATATCGCTGCACTCACCACAGCCCCGTATATAAAGGTTAAGGTACAAAAAAATCTGAAGAACTGAATAAAGGTCAGGTATCTGAAATGAAAGTTACACTGTGCAATTTCTTCAGTCTGCTGGAGGATCTGCCATCTGCCCATCTCCATGGAGGCGTTATTGCTTTGCCCGTAATGGTCCTCAGTGTGGCATTAAACTCAGCTTTTCGGAATTTATTTTGTTTGGTACTGTGGAACATTTATGTCTCTAGAGACGAGCAGGTGCCAGACCCACCACTTCAGTTACACAGTGTAGCTTTAAGTACCAGCAGCAAAACTAACTAAACTATCCATCACGTGATTTGGCAAGTTCTGTCGGAGATGCACCACCTGTCGCATCATGTGGGTGAAGTGTCTTGTTCAGGGACACAACAACAGTATGAGCTCAAATTTGAACTAGCAACCCTCTGGTAGCTGAATAATAATAATAATACTAATACATCAGTTTATATATAACAGTAACTCAAAGACAATAAAGTAACACAAAAACAAAGACAGAACAGACAAAACTAGTAGAGATTAAGCACTCCTCCTACCACTCTAGAGGAAAATGAATATTCTGAATTTGAGTCGTCATTTTAACCAGCACAGACCTCTCCCTCCCCTGCCGCTGTACCTGATTTGGGGTCTTCCCACAGGGCGGAGATCTTGGCGACATAGGGGAGGGACTTCTTCCTGGGGCCTGAGCGCAGCAGCACCGTGTCCCTCACACGGATCACCTCCCCGTCCCTCTCCACGCCCTCGTAACACTGACGCAGGGCCGTCTCATCCTCACCCTGAGAGGAGGAGGGGTTACAAGGTAAGAGTTAAGATTATTAATACAAAAATATAACTGGGACAATGTGAAATTCTAATTAACATCGTCTAAATTTCCAAAAAACAAATTATGACAGGAGCAACATATATTAAATGTACATAATCCAATCTAATCCATCTTTATTTCTAATGCACTTTAAAAACAACAGTTGACTAAAGTGCAGAACAATAATTATAAAAGGCAATAAACTAGACACAAATTGCAAAAACATAGACACATAAAAACACACTTGACACTAAAAAAGTCAACATTCATCACAGTGAAACTCTTAAGTGAACAGGTGAGTTTTAAGAGCTGATTTAAAAACTGAAAGTGACTCAACTTGTCTAAGGTGAAGGGCAGCGCGTTCCCTTACTGTAGCCTGCATCTTTTGGATTTTTCTAGCTGAGAAATCCCTTGGCAAAGTATACTTGAAATCATAATGAGGTTCTTTTCACACTGTTCAAAATGGCCTATCAGACAACCAGACCTGGATGCCACTCTGTTAACTCACCGCGATGAAAACCTCCTTCTCCGTCGGCACGCCGACCGGCCTCCATCCGTTGGTGGCGCGGCGCCGGGAGACCCTCTTCTGTTTGGTGGAGCTGAGGGTGGGGGCGGGGGGAGGGGGCTGCTTCTGGGACAGCCGCGTCCGCCCCATGGACAGGGACCCGTTGGCTGTTTTGGTGGAGGATTTGGTGGGAGATTTGGTGGGAGTTTTGGCGGGCTGGGGACATTCTTTGGCCAGTTTTAGCCGGGCCGGAGGCTGGGGGGGCATCAGCTGGGGTTTGGTGTTTTGGGTGGAGGTGGGTGGGGTGGAGAGGGGGCAGGTGGAGATGGGGAGGGAGGAGGAGACCATGAGGGAGGGGTCAGCCTGAGGAGATGAGTAGTTCTCTGTAAACACAACAGAATTAGTCACACAAGCTAAGATCAAATTGCAATCAAAAATAACCTTTTTTATCTTATCTATCAACTATAAATAATTCATTATCTGAGATTATCTGCTTTGCCTCGAGCGAATAATGTTTCAAAAGAGAAATACTGGAAGACAAACAATACAGTCAAATGTGTTGAGCCTGAGATTTAGAATTAATCAGAGAATTAAAAGGTAACTTTTCTGGTGGAGGGTCTGCTAAATACTTCTCCATGGAGATGTTATTGCTTTGCCTGGAATGTTCCATGGTATGACATTAAACAAATCCATCTAGCATTCATTCATTACGGGTGTTTCTGTTGCTCAAAAATGCAGTAATTACGTCCATGAATAGGGGCGACTCTCCACAGATCTGACTTGTAATGTAGTGTAGTGCTGTAACCTGCTCGTCTCTCTTGTGATTGATATGCTTAATCTCTACTGTGGAACATTCTAGATAAAGCAATAACATTTCCATGACAAACTGGTAGCTGACCCTCCACTAGAAATGTTACGCAGTGCACCTTTAATATGAAAATGAATGTTTAACCTGGACTATGTAACTTTTCTGGTCTACTTGTTTCCATGGAGATGATGTTGCTTTGCCTGGAATGTTCCACAATATGGCAATAAACTCATCTAATCTACTTTGCATTCATTCAGTTAGAGATGTTCTTATTGTTTAAAACACTTCGCCCTAGAGTGTCACCTGGTGTCTCTCTGGACAAGTTTAATGCTATACTGTGGAACATTTCAGGCAAAGCATATGGCAATAACATTTCCACAGAGACAAGCTGGTGTAGGACCATCCACCAGAAAAGTAACTTAGTGAACCTTTAAACAAATCCTCAGCATTTATAAAGAAACACACAAAAATGTGACAAAAGTGCATTTGAATTGTTACTTACTAAATTATAAAGTTAAAACCTTGAAAACTTTCTACTTTTCTTTTTGAAATTCAGATTTTCAAACTGATGCAACACTTTGGCAAGATGTGTAAATCTGTTATTCAGAGCCAAATTTGTGTTTTAAAAGTTTGCTGAATAAAAACATCTGGATGAAGTCACTTTGTCATTGTCATAAACTGTATATATAAATGGACATTGCTGCTGTGTACCAAATAGGAAGTGAACATGGGGGTGCTTCTGGCTCCATTGACTTTGACTTCAGTTTACTTTACACTGAAAAATTGTCACCCCTCTCTCTGTATCTGCTGTGAGAATCGTGATTTTGGTCCTAAAATGTTCATAATTAACCCATTCTACATGATCCTGGTGTTTCTATTTCACTATTATGTCCTTAAATAAAGTCTAAAATCCTAATATACTCCAAATTCGCTCCTATAACTGGCAGCCTCGGTGAGCTTCATTTGACTGGAGCCAAAAAAACAATATAGGTGATGTCACACTCTCTCAGGGCCTGTTTACACGAGAACGCTTAAAAACAACAGTAAAAACAACACATTTTTTGATCTTAAGTGCCTTTTGTTCAGACGGTGACGGCGTTTTTGGGGCTTAAAAATGCAAAAATCTGAAACCACCCTCCAGAGTGGAAAAGTTGAATACGCTCCGCCGTAGTGTTTCCGTTTACACTGCCCAAGATGCAAAACTTTGGTCAGATCTGCTCACGTCACGTACACGTTTACTTCACATACATCATCGCCTAGCGTCACCATCTAGCCACCTGGCATGTATACCCAATCGAATTCCACACACTTTCGCATCACCATATGCATGCAGATTTCCTCCCGAAAACGCCCGTCTAAACCTGGAATAAAAAGTGAAGACGCGACTCCACTTTTACGTCTTCTGTTCAAATTGTCATCATATAAACATAGACTTAATCCACTTCTTTATACAGTCTATAAAGGTCATTGCTGATGTCTTGACACTCACCTGTTTTGATGTTGTGCGTACACCCTGTGCATCCGGCACTGAACGTGCACCCCCTGCTGGTGACCGGAGGCATCGCTCTGAACGTGCACCCGCCCATCCTGCAGGCCTCTCCGAAACAGGGCGCCCCCACAGAGTTACAGTACGCCGGGTGCGTCAAACCTGACCCCCCTTTGGACCCGCTCATCTGCCCCGAACACAACCCGGACGGGGAAAAGTTCAGCGATCGGGAGGCCATGGTGGGCGACGTGGTCCCGGTATGAGGCGGGTGGGTGATGTGGACGTAGTAGCTGGAGAAGCAGTGCTCGGCTGTGCAGAGACATGGGTGGGGGCTGAGGGTGAGGGCGGTGTGTGGGTGGGAGTGGGTGAGGGACGGGGAGGGCACCAGGCATTCGCGTTTCACAGGAGTCAAGGCTGATTTGAGCTGCTGATTGTTGGATTCGCTGTACGGCTGCTGGCCCAAAAAGAAGGCCAAGCGGTGGCAGTACTCCACAGAGCCCTAAAAGCACAGGTTACAGTGTTAAATATTCAAATGTTAGGAAAAACATTTTACGTCACAACTGTGCACTCTAAAAAAAATCTGCAGTTATTGACCAAAATTCACTGAAAAAAGAAGAATGACTTGAAGTTATATAAATATTAGTCTTACACTGTTTTAACTAATAAAATAACAGTAAAAAAAAGTCATTTCACATACTGGTTGGAATATTTTTCTTCAAAGTTACATCTTAAAAAGGTCCTATATTACATAAAATTGACTTGTGCACTGAAAATTTCTCTGATCTGGCCAAGATTTTTAAACTTTTATAAGGTTATTCATCTTGTTTTCAGATTTATTATCTACTTACTAGTTCTGAGACTGCTTCACTCCAGTCTAGACGGAGTTTATTTTAAGATAATTTGTCAAATAATATTATCTTGCTGCAAGGACACATTTTCACAAATTTTACTACTTTTAAGTCATTTTCTGACAGATTTAAGTGTTTATATCTAAAATTTTGGCCAAACTTTTTGCAGTGTGAGCTTTAATACGTGTTATAATGTTGTTACCTCATCAAAAAATACCTGGACTTGTGTTTTGTCCTTCATCATTACTTTATCTATTAGGGGTGTAACGATATCCAGGTCTCACGATACAATATCGTCACGGTATGAACCTCCTGATATTTATTGCAGTATATCATCTCATGATATGGTGGAGAGGCTCACAACTAGGGATTTAACAATATCCAAATCTCTCTGTAAGACATTTTCACGATATACACAGTACGATATTGCGAAATTTTATGGAGGCAAACAAAACTGTGAATATGCTACTTTTTCCTCTTAAAATGCCTTGACAAAATTTAAACCAAAGAAAAAAGCCTTAAAAGTGCTTAGAACTGTTATTTCTTCCTGTAGTCGACATTGAAATGGAGCAAAGGATTTTGGTCTATGTAGTTCCCTCTGTCTTTTAGCTATTGTTGCACCAAGAGACTTGTAATTCGATATATTGTGATGGTCCACGATTATTGTGAGAACTTTGACGATGCAATATCATGATATATCTGTTGTTACATGTCTCTACTATCCACATCTTCAATGCTCAGAATGTTCTGTTCCACCTTGTAATGAAGTTAACCTTTTTACCTTTCTTCAGTAGAGTTTGGCAATTCCAGGGGTGAAATAATTCTAGTGAAGGTGTATGGGGTTTAAAGACACATGGCAAAAGAGAAATTCAATTTGTCAACTGGACAAAAGTTTATTTTAGTCAAATCCATTTCGCAGCTCATTCAAGTTGCTTCTTCAGTTCGAACTGAAAGAAGCTTTTGTCCATTTGACAAACTGAATTTCTCCTTTGCCATGGATTCTACCTGGACGACTGAGGGATTTTACACACATTTTAAAAACAATGTGATGCACTTCCTGTATTACCACATGACATCACAAGGTGGAGTGTTTTTTTGTTTGAGAAAGAACTCGGCCTAAAATGCAGGGTTTATGTGTTAGGCATGCATGAATGAAACAAAACACAACTCCAGGTATGTTTGTGATGAAGAAGCAACATTATACCATAGATCAGAAAATAGTGTAATACTGGCCCTTTAAACAGACAAAAAATAAGGCAGTTCTTTCCACTCCTTACCTTTGGGGGGCAGCAGTAGTAGGGACTGAGCTCCGCCTCCATCTGCTCCTCCTTCACTTGCTTGAGCGGGTAGGACATCATGCTTCTCGACTGGTACCCTGGTTTGGTCAACCGATGAGTACAGCCATTCGAATCCCACTCCACTTTCGGCTCAAAATCGCTTTTCTTCTTACACGCCGAGCAGCTAAGTTGTGACGCCAGCCCCCTTTTCCCCTTGTGTTTCGGTGGTCTACCCTTGTATTTGACCCTCGCGTGTTGCTTAATAGTTGTAGGAGCTTGGGTCTTGCAGTCAGACGAAGTTGCAGTAGTAGTAGTTGTAGTAGTAGTACTAGTTGGAGTGCTCTTTACCCTTTGTTTAGCAGTAGCGGATGTGCTAGTTAGCTTCAGCAAGGCAGCAGCATTGAGCCCCGCTAACCGTCTCGGCGCAGGTGCATCTAAACTCTCCTGACTCAACTCAAATGGATTACTTTTCACTTTCGCTTTCACTTTCACTTTTTTGGCCTTGAATTTTTGGCACATTTTTGGACCTAGCGTCACTTTATTAGAATGTCCAGGTGTATTCGTTTTAGTAGTTGTCTTAGTAGTAGCGTCTCCCTCCGCGGCGCCCCCTACAGTCACAGCCTCGTCCTGTTTTCTGGCTTGTTTAGCAGCAGGTTGAGTATCCCACGGTCTTTCGAGCAGCAGACTATTGACGGCCTCTGCGTTCAGCGAGGCCAGTCTGCGTTTTCGCGGTAACAGGACATGCATGTAGTCCGCGATACTAGCGTTGTTTGATTTTGATTTGTGTTTTGATAACGTCTTCACATCTTTCTTGCTTTTTCTACCCCTGCGTTTGAGAGATAAGTGTCTATGTTGGCCGTCTTTTCGCGTTTTGCGTTCAGAATCTCCTTGGCTCTCCTCCAGTCGCGTTAAGATCACGTGACAGCTGAGCCCCTCCCCCTCCGAACCTCCCGCCCGCCCTCGCAACGGGTACAATTTCCGATCGCGCTTCTTCTCGCGTCTCCGGTCCAACTTTTTGTTCTGATCTGAACTTTTATCCTTCTTCTCCTCTACCACCATCTTTCTCCTCTTCTTGGTCCTCTTCATGACTTCGCCGATCTTCTTCGTCCGGCCAAATCGAAGCGAGCGCTCGGGCCAGGGCTCCATGGCGCCACCATGTGTCCAGAGTGGGGACTGGTCCACCCACTCCGCCGTGCGCCGCTGCTGGAGGGAAGCCTTCTGCCGAGCTTGAGTCATCACATGCTTCTCCACGCAGCCTACAGGAAAAAGAAAGCAAAGAGGAGGGGTTAGAAGTTAAAGGTCATATAGTACACAAAATTGACACTTGTGAGCTTTAAACACGTTACTAGAGCCCTGCACCGACACAAAACAGTGAAGCATGGGAAACATTTTGAAAGCTCATTGTAGGCACAGCTGGGTGGGATGATAAACTGTAGTCCCACAAACTAAATATGAGTAAAGTAAAATATACAAATAATTAATGTGTGCCCATCATGCATCATTTGTGCTGGATATTTTATTTGGCATTAATAAAAACATTTAAAGCTTAAACTCGCGCACATTTTAGACCTTTCTGCTTCTCAGTGTTTGATAGAGCTTAAGAAAGCGAATGTCCCCATCTTGCGGGACTTGCGGGTGGGAGCGGGAATGAAAATTACAATTCTTAGTGGGAGCGAGTGCGAGTGGGACTGCTCAATGCGGGTGGGAGCTGGACTGAAAATTCTGTCCCACGCAGACCTCTAGTTAGAAGGTAAAGGTTCTAAATTCCACAAAATTGACGTTATAATGTTGTTACTAGAGCCCTGCACTGACGCAAAACAGTGCGTAAAACAGAAAGCTCATTGAAAGCACTTTTTAAGCAGCCTAAATCTGCAGACACTGTCTAATCTCACGCACATTTTAGATAATTCCTTTCTGCTTCTCTGTGTTTGATAGAGCTTAAGGGATTGTTTACACAAGAACGCTTGCCGGTAAAAAAGGCAAAATATTTTATCAGAAGTGTCTTTCGTTTAGACGGTGACGGCGTTTTGGGAGCTTAAAAACACAAAAATCTGAAACCACCTTCCAGAGTGGAAAAGTTGAATACGCTCCACCATAGCATTTCCGTCTACACTGCCCAAAACTCTGGTCAGATCTGCTCACGTCGCGTACACAGTGTATTGTATCACCACCTAGCGTCACCCCCTAGTCGCCTGGCATGTATACCCAATCGAATTCCACACTTTTGCGTCACCGTATGCACGCAGATTTCCTCCTGAAAACACTTGTCTAAACGTGGAATAAAAAATGAAGATGCAACGCTACTTTTGTGTCTTCTGTTCAGACCGTCATCATATAAATGTAGTCTACGAAAGCGAACGTCACCATCTTGCAGGATTTGCAGGCGGGAGCGGGACAAAATATCACAGATGAGGGCGGGAGCGGGAATGAAAATTACAATTCTTTGCAGACTTCTAGTTGTTACCTCCTCAAAAACAGACCTGGAGATGTGTTTTGTTTCATTCAAACATGTCTGTGTAACCCTTCATTATTAGTCTGTCTACATCTCCAAAACTCAAAATGCTTTGTTCCACCTTGTGATGTCATGAAGCTGTAGTTTTGAAGTTAACAGCTTTTTTTTTTTTTTTTTTTTTTTTACTTTTGTGCAGTAGAGATTTGCAATTTTTGGGCTGACATCATCCAAATGATTCTAGTGAAAGTGTATGGAGTTTAAAAACACAGTGGACCAGTTTCTGTATTACCACATGACATCACAAGGTGGAACTGAGTGTTTTCCGTTTGAGAGAAGAAGTCAGCTTAAATTTGCAGGATTCGTGTGTTAATCATGTGTAAAGGAAACAAAACACAACTCCAGGTGTGTTTTTTGACAAGGAAATATAACACAGATCACAAAACAGCGTAATATGGGTGCTATAAAACCAGTTTTTCTCTTTTTTTTTTTTTGTAGAACAATACAAATATGACTTGGAATGATCCGCGTTTTTGTCAAGATTACCCACAGTTACAATGCACGCAATTTACCGTGTCACTCGCTCACTTGCTTGCTCCTTATCTCCTCAGCATGCAAACACCACCTTGTTAAATTCCATTGTTTAGCCTGTCAAAACCTCACACGAATACCAAATTTAGAGCGGAAAAATACAACTAATCTACATTTGTATCCCTTTAATGACAGTATCAAGCTGTTCTCTCAGTGTGAACGCTTTAGGTCTCAGTCTCACCCCGGCATCTATTTGACTTGGCTTGCTGTGAAATGATTCCGTAATTAAATTTAATTAGCAACAATTGTGAAAAAACTGATAAAGCGCAACGTCAATACAAAACACATAGAAGGAGCTGTTCATAAAGATTTATTGTCAGAGAAATGAGACGGGGGATCTATATGCACACTCTAGTCGACCATATATGGACTTCCCATCACTGCACTTGGAAAACTTGGGTCATTGGTTTGCATAACAAGCAGAAATTCAATACGTCACACATACTGATAAACACGGTCTACTAAAATACCGCTGGATGCATTGGCTTTGACTTTTAAAGGGCCCATATTACCCTTTTTGTGTGATCTATGTTATAATATAATTTCCTCATCAAAAAGTTGGGTTTTGTTTAATTTCATTCGCACAAAATTGTACATATTTAGGCTGAGTTCTTGTCTTTAATACAAAACACTCTGTTCTACTTTGTGATGTCATTTGGTAATACAGGAAGTGCTCCACTCCATACACCTTCACTAGAATAATTTGGATGATTTCAGTCCTGGAATTTCCAATCTCCACTGAACAAAAGGTAAAATATAGCTGTTAACGTCATTCATGACATCACAAGGTGGAACAGAGCATTTTGAGCTTTGGGGATGGAGACAGACTAATAATAAAGAGTTACTCCAACATCTGTGAATGAAACAAAACACAACTAACATGTTGTAACATGTTGTTTTAGTTATGGGTTTAGTCCCGGGTTTAGTCCTGGGTTTAGTCCTGGGTTTAGTTCTGGTTTAGTCCTAGTTTTAGTTTTGGTTTAGTCCTGGTTTTAGTCCTGGTTTTAGTCCTGGTTTTAGTCCTGGTTTAAGTTTTGGTTTCGCCCTGGTTTTAGTTTTGGTTTAGTCCTGGTTTTAGTTCTGGTTTAGTCCTGGTTTTAGTCTGGTTTAGTCCTGGTTTTAGTCCTGGTTTTAGTCCTGGTTTTAGTTTTGGCTTTAGTCCCTGGTTTTAGTTTTGGTTTAGTCCTGGTTTTAGTTGGTTTTAGTCTGGTTTAGTCCTGGTTTTAGTTTGGTTTAGTCCTGGTTTTAGTTTTGGTTTAGTCCTGGTTTTAGTTTGGTTTAGTCCTGGTTTTAACTTTGGTTTAGTCCTGGTTTAAATTTTGGTTTAGTCCTGGTTTTAGTTCTGGTTTAGTCCTGGTTTTAGTTTTGATTTAGTCCTGGTTTTAATTTTGGTTTAGTCCTGGTTTTTAATTTTGGTTTTAATTTTGGTTTAGTCCTGGTTTAAATTTTGGTTTAGTCCTGGTTTAAATTTTGGTTTAGTCCTGGTTTTAATTTTGGTTTAGTCCTGGTTTTAATTTTGGTTTAGTCCTGGTTTTAATTTTGGTTTAGTCCTGGTTTTAATTTTGGTTTAGTCCTGGTTTTAATTTTGGTTTAGTCCTGGTTTTAGTTTAGGTTTAGTCCTGGTTTTAGTTTAGGTTTAGTCCTGGTTTTAGTTCTGGTTATAATCTATAAACACCTGTGGATCACCATGTTATTTGCACATACTAAATCACAATATTCATCTAAAACGACTTAAGAAAAGAAACAAATTTGCTGACTTCTGCGTTTGAAAACTGTGGTGCCAGTGGGACCCGACGTTGCCGTAAACGTCACAACAAAGAGTCTGCACCTCCAATGGATGGCTGCAGATCAAACTAGTGAGCAGCTGGATTTTTTTCCCCATTCGTACTAAAATGACTATGCAACGCTGCCAAATTTTATGTATACCACCCATTAAGAAAATAAAATTGAAGAACAGAGTAAGTACAGTGCAGTGGGCGTATGCCGGTGGCGATGACAACAGGGATTGATCTGCAATATGGTGTTTTGAAAATAAGCGATTAAAGATTGCTGAAACATGCATGAATCATTTCAGATACAACTCCGAGACTGTAAATGAGAAGAGGAAATAACTAGAACATGGGTCAAAGCTCTGAAAAGTCGATTTAGCAGAATAAGTGCTTTAAATATGCATTGTGTCATTTTTCTTGTGTAGGCTCCATCAAATGCTTTTTTCCATGGAGATGTTATTGCTTTGTCTGGAATGTTTCGCAGTATGGTATTAAACCTTTCTATTTTCAAGGAGACCAAACCAAGCCAAGTTACAGGTCAGATTTGTGGAGAGGCAACCCCACACACAGTCAAAATGTCTGTTTTTTGAGGTATTTTTGAGCTATAAAGCCACCTGTAAATGAATAAATGTAAGGCAGGGCTGAGCTGTTTAATGTCATACTGTGGAACATTCCTGTAAGCGCAGTGACATAACCATAGAAACAAGCAGGTGACGGACCTCCAACCAAAACACAACAACTGCACATGAGTTCATACAAAAACAACAAAGGTCCCATAATTTATGCAATAAGTGGATTTTGGACATTTTAAATCGCAATATTGGTCTAAAACAACAGACTTTTTGTTGAAAACTGTAGAGTAGATTACAGCTAAATTATAGTATGTTGCTGTAATTGCATGAACTGTATTTTTTTCCCCATTTAAAGAGTGTATTACAAGTTTTGACGATTCTATAATTTGTATTTACAGCAGGTTTTATCTCTCAAATCAGGGGTGTCGGACTGAGGGGGTGAAGGGTACTGTTTACCCAGGGCCCAGGGCAGAGAGGGGACCTTTACAAATTCTGTAATGAGAATTTTTCATTAGAGAACATGTAGAAGCCCGGAAGTTGTAGACCACGCACCGGCCAATCAGTGAAGAGCTGTGAACCCATGACTGGGTCCTTTTTGTGGTACAGCATAACAGTAAACAAAGCAGTTGAGAGGGATGTAGACAAAGCCATACATTCTGTGTTGGCAACGATTCCCGAGATCGAGGATTTAAAGTTGGAACAAAGAGAATGTTTGGTGAATTTTATCAAGGGGAAAGATGTTATTGCCCTTCTTCCTACAGGATTTGGGAAAATCTGAATATACCAGTTGGCCCTGTTAGTGGTGCATTACATATGTCACAACCAAATAGCAGTGATTGGTTAAATTAAAAAAGCACCTGCCTACCGTTGAGCGA